GCCAAGCTTATCTTTTAATTCTCTTTCCCGTGAACTTTTCTGAAGTGCCCCCTACCCTTCTGTATAGATTTCTGAAACCAGTGGTGGGCTTACTCCTTTCTTACTAGTCTGTTTGCTTCTGGTCTTGACAGCAGTACATTCTCAGGTCGGGCGAGCCAAGGTCAGATTGGCCACTAATATTTCTCTCCTGGGCAGAGCTGTGCTCCTGCAGGCTTAGCATCAGGTCATCTCCGAGTTATTTCACCTGTCTTCTCCTGTTTACACGTGCTTTTAATTTATCCAGAGGAAGTTTGGCCAGGCAAGACATTCCCGGTCACTCCTTTTCTGCTAGAGCAGGGAAGTCAGGATTGCAAGCTTTAACTGTGACCTTTCGAGCACTTCAATAAAAGACAGCTGTGGTCTTTTGGTTGCTTAGAAGTTTTAATACTGACTTTCTAAAGCCTCGGTTGAACATGAGGCCATGACCGAGCTGACACCTTAAGCCGACAACAGTAATCCAGCTCCACCTGGATTTGACAGCTGGGGTCTGTGGAGCCTGACAAATTATCTAAGGCGGGTACATTATTCCATTGTGTGAATCTTTGTCTCCTCTGCCTTACAGAGGCAGCTCAGCAAAGTTCTCCAAGAGTGCTTATTCAAGCTGTCAGGCTTTGTTACCTGTTTTGAATGAAGCCAGTCAGCCACAGGAACTCCTTGTTTCCTCCCATTTTTCCCACAGTGTCTTATCACAAGCGTTCAGGTTCTCAGAAAAGCTTGAAGCTCAAACTTGCTCCTAAATCAAGCCTGTTTCAAAGTTTATGAAAATGCCTGCAGCTTACACATGTTGAGTTGTTTTTTTAAAGTTTTTTTTTTTTTTTTTTGAAAGGCAGAGTTACAGAGAGGCAGAGGCAGAGGCAGAGAGAGGTCTTCCATCTGCTGGTTCACTCCCCAGTTGGCTGCAATGGTTGGAACTGCACTGATCTGAAGCCAGGAGCCAGGAGCCTCTCCTGGGTCTTCCACGCGGGTGCATGGGCGCAAGGACTCGGGCCATCTTCTACTGTTTCCCAGGTCATAACAGAGAGCGGGATTGGAAGTGGAGCAGCCGGGTCGAACCAGCGCCCATATGGGATGCCGGCACTGGAGGCAGCAGCTTTACCCACTATGCCACAGCGACGGCACCACACGTTTAATTTTTTAAAAAATTGCAGCTTGTGCTCTAGAGACTCATTTCTCAGTGGTACTCCAGGGGCACCTGAATTGCTACAGTGTCAAGGACTTTGGGTTGAGTTTTCTATGTACTGACTGATGAACTATTTCCCACCATAGATAGCATTTTGGAGATAATTGATCAATGATTTTTCACTTATTTCTTAATTTATATTTCTAAGTGGTTTTTTCAATGATGGATACTAAATAATTATTTTCCATAAAGCCCATTCTCAAAAAAACTAAGATCAGACTGTCTCTGATCATGAATCTCCAGGGTCTTTCCATATATTAAACAAATGGAACTTCCTTTGGATTTATGGTGAACAAAATCCACCTTCACCTCCCGAGTCAGATCTTTAGGCAGAACCTACAGCGTCAGCGTCTTTGCAGTACCTGCTCTCACACACAGCAGCTTGGAATCTCACCTCATCAGGTCCCCCTCTTGCAGTTACTCTTCCACCCCTCGTCCTTCCCTCTCCTCTTTCAGACTCAGCCGCTGGCTCACTGTCGCTCTCTCTAATAGTAGCTTTGCCATATTTTTAATGACCTTGAAGATGATCCTTCCCTAACCTTCATTTTCCAGTTGCTCAAACTCTCCTCTGCTGGTCTTGTCTAAAACACACCCTCAGCCACCCTCTCCCAATGGGCATCCCTTAGGCTTTGTCACCGCCAGGGACTGGGCCCTTCCGTAACCTCTTTTATTTTATTTTATTTTATTTTATTTTATTTTATTTTATTTTATTTTATTTTTTTGACAGGCAGAGTGGACAGTGAGAGAGAGAGACAGAGAGAAAGGTCTTCCTTTTGCCGTTGGTTCACCCTCCAATGGCCGCCGCGGCTGGCGCGCTGTGGCCGGCGCACCGCGCTTATCCGAAGCCAGGAGCCAGGTGCTTCTCCTGGTCTCCCATGGGGGGCAGGGCCCAAGGACTTAGGCCATCCTCCACTGCACTCCCTGGCCACAGCAGAGAGCTGGCCTGGAAGAGGGGCAACCGGGACAGAATCCGGAGCCCCGAACGGGACTAGAACCCAGTGTGCCAGCACCGCAAGGCGGAGGATTAGCCTGCATAACCTCTTTTAAACATTTCTCTTTCCAGTCACCACTTCTTGCCCTTCCAACTTACTATCTCTAATGCTTTTACTCCAACTCTGCTTTGCTTCACCTGGGTTGTACGATTCACTAAACCTGCCTGCTTTTCCCTGTCCCTCAAGTTCCTCATTCTAGCTCCTGGCTCATTTCCTAGGCTATAGTCCTCATTTTCCTCCCTAATCAGTGAAATCCCAAGGTCCACTATTCTAATATCCACCTTTCATAAACCCACAGGTTTTTGGCCTCCCCTTATCTTCTGAAAACCGCACCTAATCCTGCACAGCTGCACTGCGGAGGAAAAACACACAGCCATGGGGGCGGTTTCACCGCAAATTTACCAGCACTAATCTCCAGCAGGTCCTCAATGCTGTGTGCATTCCTGGTTGATTCAGTCTTTTGCTCTTCTACACGTCTTCTCTCCTCAACCTTTCAACAGCCTCTCTCCGGTTTCACTCACAGCCAACAACCTAGCTTCTGATTTCCACTGAGAATACAGAAGCAGTAGAAGAGAGCTTCTATGAGCTATGGACATCACAAGAACCCCATCAGGGCTGGTGCTGTGGCACTGTGGATTAAGCTGGCATCCCATATCTATATCAGAGCTCTGCTTCCAATTCAGCTCCCTGCTAATGTGCCTGGGAAGGCAGCAGCCCTGGCCATTAGGGCCATCTGGTGAGTGAGCCAGCAGATGAAAGATCCTCTCTCTCTCACTATCTCTCTCTCTCTCTCTCTTTTCCTTTCAAATAAATACATAAAAATATCTTAAATACCAATCATCACCCCGTCAATCCCCTACTAGCCTCAAAACCCAGACTCTTCCTTCTTTCATATCAACCTTTTGTGATCTTGAGAAATCATTCCAGATGTCCTCCTCTTTCCTTCTCCTGCATTAACTCTGTTCTCACAGTGATTTCCCCATTAGCATATAAACAAGCTACCATTTCTTCCATGTGTGAAGGCATCCTTTCTGACTGCACTTGCCCTTCCAATTATGTTCCATTTCTCTGCTTCTCTTTATAGCAGTTGTTATCAGAAAAGCGGCCCATAGCTGTTTTCTTTTCACCCCCCCAAATGGCTGCTACAGCCATCCGAAGCCAGGAGCCAGGTGCTTCCTCCTGGTCTCCCATGTGGGTGCAGGGCCCAAGCACTTGGGCCATCCTCCACTGCACTCCCGGGCCACAGCAGAGAGCTGGCCTGGAAGAGGGGCAACCGGGACAGAATCTGGCGCCCCGACCGGGACTAGAACCCGGTGTGCCGGCGCCGCAGGTGGAGGATTAGCCTGGTGAGCTGTGGCGCCGGCTTCCATTCTCTCTTGAGTTTGTTCTCATCGCTTTAGGCCCTACCACTACACCAAATGGGTCATTTCAAAGTCATCAATGTCCTTCATGTGTCTACCTAGTCAGTTCTCGGCCCTCGTCTTGCTTGATCCGAGCAGTAATGGACTAGGTTCATCACTCCATTCTCTTCTTAATGTTTTCTTCACTTGGGTTCTGGGACTCCATTCTCTCCTGATTCCTCTTCCACCACAGTGACCGCTTATTTTTAGTTTTGTTTGCTTACTCAGTTCTCTAATTTCTTCATGTTGCATTTCCTGGGTCTCAGACCATGTGCTTCTGTTTCCTATACTATCTATACATATTCTCTTGGTGTTCTCATCCACTCTTGTGGCTTAAACAGCATTTACATGTGGAATGTTCACAAGTTACATATCTAGCCAAGACTGTTCTTCTACACTCTAGGTTCATATATCCACTTGCCTATATGACAACCTTTTTGGATGTCTAATAGATATCTCTATATGTCCAAAATCAACCTCCTAATCTTCTTCATTCCTAAGACTTTCTTCCATCATTCTTCCACCTCTCATTTATTGGCAAGCCCATTCTTTCTGAAGTCAGACAACAAACTCAAAATGTAGCTTTGATTTTTCTCTTTTCTCTCAAAGCCAACATAGAATCTAACAGAAAAGTCTTCATTGTCTACCTCCAAAGCAAGTTGAAATCTGACCACTTCTCACTAGTTCCTCAGTCACCATTCTGCTCAAGATTCCTTTAGGTCACAGGAAGAGGTCTATGGTCTATGGTGATGAGCGCCTTTTCCCACACCTGGGAGATGGAAGCCTCATGCCTCCTCAAGTCTGACACTCAGGTTTCATCATTTCAGATTCATCCTTGTGCTGTTAGAACAGCCATCTCTACTTATTCCTCTTTAAACATTCACATTTTCTGGGAAAACAACAATTTTTATTTATTAGTGTATATTAATGTGTACCTATCTCACCTTGCCCTCCAAGAATTTAAAGCAGGTTATAAAAGTATGTAAAGTGCATAACCGTATAGAAAAATAAGTGAGTAAATTAGGCAAAGGTAAAATAAGGCCATTAAAAGTTCAGGGGACTCAAGAGAGGGGTGAGATGAGCAATGTAAGTCCATGCCATGAGGTCCTTTCCATTCCTTAGTGGGCGTGACACCTGAGTTCTTTTAGAATCACTTCCTTTCTGTATGAAGGGCCCCCATAAAGCACCATAACACAATGGTTCCTGGGGTGTAGAGTGGAAGAGAGCCATGCAGGTAGGAAAGACTCAGAGCAGAAGTGGGGCAAGGCTGGCTAGGAAGTCTCCTCATCTGGGACGAAAGCCCCACCTGTATCACAAGCAGTCACCGGCCCCTCCCCAGTCCCCTCTATTGCAGTCCATCCCTACATGAGTTACCCCACAAGTACTTACCAAGACCCAAGCACGAAACTCTGAGTCCTGATTTCCCAAGATTCCTAGAACAAAAATAAAGCAACACATGGTTATTGCTTCCTGGTGAGACTCTGCATATCTGACTATGTCTGTGGTATCTCATTTCTGGTGGCTTAATTCTTGACAAGAGCAGTGGCAGAGGCAAAGCTGCTGTGACAGGCTTCTGGTCTTGGGAAACGTCTTGGGTGCAGGGGCCAAGGACTTGGGCTACCTTCTACTGTTTTCCCAGGCCATAGCAGAGAGCTGGATCGGAAGAGGAGCAGCCGGGTCTTGAACCGGAGCCCATATGGGATGCTGGCGCTTCAGGGCTAGGGAGTTAACCCACTTCGCCACAGCTCCAGCCCCTGACCTATTCACTTCTAAAAAAAAGAGCTTTTTTTTTTTTTTTTTCCTAGTGATGGGGATTGTTAGAAGAATAAATACAGTAGAGCTATCCTTTAGGTTAGCTTAACTATATTCTAATTCTTTTCTATACAAGGCAATATAAAATTACTGTAGGAAGGTCCTTTTAAATTGAGTCTTCTTTTCTTCCCTCAAATTCCTTGTTTCATCCCCAAAATTTTACAAAGGAAAAACAGCACAATTCTGGTTTTTAAATAGAGATGGAAGTATGAATTCTCATATTCATTTGCCTATAAATCTTTCTCTTTGGAGATCCAGGCGCAACCTACTTTTCTGTCTTCTGACCAACAGCTGTCAGAGGAGAAACCAAATTCTGAGACTAATGAGGTCTCATCAAATTAGTATAGGGAGTCCCAAATGAGAGCAAGGAGACTTGAAAGGATTAGTGTAGGGGTCCAAGGAGAGGAAAGGAAGCTGAAGTGACTGTGACATTGAAGAGACGGGTGACCCTTACTCTCTGATCAGACATATTGCAATTTACAATTTCCCTTCCTATTTCCACCCCAAATGAATGAACAAGAACAAAATTTTCCACCAGTGCCACAGCTCTGCTTCTTCAGCTTCTCCCTTGATTCATCATTAGTTTGGACTTCATTAGGGCTAATGATCAGTATTCCTAGTTTTGCAACATGTTTCTTTCTTCTGCTTATTATTATTGTCAAGAAAATTACATCAAAGCAGCACAGTTAATTTGGCAATGCAGCCAAAAGTGCATCATGTGGAGTGGGCTAAGTTGCTTCCTGAGATTCTTGCATCCTAAATCGGTGTGCCTGATTTGAGTCCCAGCTACTTCACTTCCCATCCGACTTCCTGCTGATGGGGATCCTGGGAGGCAGCAGGTGATGGTTCAAGTACTTGGGCCTCTGTCACTGACACTAGGCACTCAGACTGATCAGACCGGTTTTGGCCTCGTCCAGCCCTGGTTATTGTAGGCATCTGGGGGAATGAACCATCAGATGGAAAATTTCTCTCCGTCTCTCTGCCTTTCAGATAAAATGAAAATAAATAAATTTGAAAAAAAATTTAAGTGCATCATTTTGCATGAAGTTCAAAGACTGAAGTTGTGACCCATTTTTACAGCTAGCTGGGTGACCCTGGGGAATTTGCTCCTTTTTTCTGGGATTCAATTTCTTCATTAGTAAGATGGGCTGTTGATGCCTGTGTCATTCATCTAGAATGACTTATTGGGGGCAGAACATAGTGAGACATAGTTAAGTGTTGTACAGTAGGATGGGCATTTTATACAGTGTAAGATACTAGTCGGGATCCGTATTGGAGTGACTGAATTTGAGCCCTGGCTCCGCTTCTGATTCCAGCTTCCTGCTAATGTGTATCCCGAGAGGTGGCAGGTGATGGCACAAGTACTTGGCTGCCTTTCACCCATGTGGGAAACCCTAATTGAGTTCCCAGCTCCTGGTTTTGATGTTACCCAGCCCTGACTGTTGCGGGCGTTTGAGGAGTGAATCTGCAGATCTCTTGCTCTCTCTGTCTCTCTCTAAACCTTTCAAATAAATAAAAATAATATATAAATGTAGAAAGTGTTGCATAGTACAGGAGTGCAAGATGTAATGATATCTGGTGCTTTTTGACCCTTCTAACCCTTTCATAGATGTGTGTTGAATTTTCCCATATGAATTAGATTTGTCCAGCTGGAAGAAAACCATTGCATAAAGTGCATGTGAGAAATATTTTGAACTACTAAATAGAAGAAAAATAGATGGCTCTCTCCCGTGAAAATAATATTCATAAGAAATTGTTCTTCTAGTAGTCTGAGAAAGTCCTAGTATGTGCGACCAGACCTTTCTTTGCAGTCTAACAGCCTACTGATTTTGAAGGACAGGAATCTAGAGCAAAAGCTGTATACCAGGGATACTACAGTTAGGATGTGTTTTGTCCCTGCCCAAACTCACATTGACATTTGATTGCCAGTGTAAAGGTGTTGTGAGGTAAGTTGCTCATGGGGACTTCTCCCTCACGAATGGATTAATATCTTTCTTGAGAGATTGGATTAGTTCTGGCAAGAGGGTCTGTTACACAGCAAGCCTGGGACCTCCTGTCATGCACTAACATGTAGTTCCAGCACATGATTCCATCCTGCTATGGCACAGCATGAGCCCCTCACCAGATGGCTGCCTTATCTTGCACTTTCCAGCCTGCAAAACCATGAGTCAAAATAGACCTCTTTTTGTAACTGGTGCTGTGTGTAGCAGGTAAGAGTCTTGCCCTGAGAGGCCAGCAACCCATATGGGTGCTGGTTTGTGGACTGGCTGTTCAACTTCTGATCCAGCTCTCGGCTAATGCATCTGGGAAAGCAGAGGAAGATGGCCCAAGTGTTTGGGCCCCCATACCCATGTGGGAGACCCAGATGAAGCTCCTGGCTTCAGCATGGCCCAGCATTGACTGTTGTGGCCATTTTGGGAGTGAACCAACAGATGGAAGATCTCTCTCTCTCTCTCTCTCTCTCTCTCTCTCCCTCTCTGTAACTCTGACTTTCAAAATTAATAAATAGGAGCTAGTGTTGTGGTGTAACAGGTTAAGCCTCAACCTGTGATGCTGGCAACCCATATTGATGCTGGTTCCAGTCCTGATTGCTCCACTTCCAATTCAGCACCCTACTAATGAATCTGAAAAAACAGCAGAGGATGGCCCAAGTGCATAGGCCCCTGCTACCTATGTGTGAGACTGGAATAAAGTGCCTGGCTTAGGCCTTGTCCAGCCCCAGCCATTATGGCCATTTGGGGAGTGAACCAGTGAATGGAAGGTTTCTCTCTATTGTTCTCTCTCTCTCTCTCTCTCTCTCTCTCTCTGTAACTCTACTTTTGAAATAAATAAAATAAATCTTCAAAATAAATAAATCATCAAAATAAACCTCTTTTCTTTCATAAATTACCCAGTCTCAGGTATTCTGCTACAGCAATGGAAGGAAAATGAACCAGGACTAGGGATAATAACAAAGACTAAAGTGAAACCAGACCAACAAAGCAGATAATAATAACTATACACACACACACACATATTCATTTGTATATGAAGAACTTAGTCTTCCAGGTGGACACATTCAACAGTGATGAATCAGGAAGTATTTAATGAGAGGTCACCATGTTGTAGACAATGTATGAGGGCACAGAGAGCAACAAGGCACAATTCCCTGCCCTCAAGAAGCCTGGAGTGCAACAAACAACCCAGGAAAGCAAACATTTGCTTATAGAGCAGCAGTGTGGGTACTACCAGGCAGATCGCTGGGAGCACACACCAGGGGCTTCCTCAGCTTTATGGGTGTCATGGAGAAAGGGATCTAGAGGAAGGTTTTTGTGCAGTTTCACTTCTTGCAGTGATCCTGAGAATCACAGGGAGGGATACTTGGTGCAGAACACCGTGCAGAGCATGACTGAAGGCTTTGCAGCCCAGAGAGTCTTCTAACAAACTCAAATCAGTGAGGATATGTCACCGGACACTTACTGAGCAGCACCTCAGCACCAAGTGGAGACATGAGCCCTGTTTTCCTTATGACACTGACTTAGCAAGATAACAGTCACTCAGCTATGGGTTGGGAAGACTGAACTTGGGAACTGTCAGCAAAAACAAACTGCAAAGTAGCAAGTACTAAACATAGTCCATGTTCTTGCCCCTCCTGTTTAAGCACCCAGGGCAGCTATCCTGGAACAAAAGGCTTAGAAAACTTTAAAGTGTAAGAAAAGTTTGACTACAGACAAATATTTGATACATTGGGGATGGGTCCCAAACTTTGAGTCTTGGCGTCTTTATTTCCAGTAACTCTTCAATTTCTTTAACGACTTCTCTAAGTATCTTCTTTGTCTAGAAGGAATGGCTACCAAATTTAGGTGATCACTTTTTATTTGAGAGGCCGAGTGACAAAGAGAGAGAGAGAGGGAGAGAGAGAGAGAGAGGCTTCCCATGTACTGATTCTCTCCACACCTGCAACATCTGGGACTGGGTCAGGCCAAAGCCAGCAGCAGGGAACTCAATCTGGGTCTCCCACACAGCAGGAACTCGACTACTTCAGTCATTGCATCACCTGCTGCCTCCAAGGAAACACATTAGCAAGAAGCTGGAATTGGGAGGGGAGCTGAGATTTGAACCTGGGCACTCTGTTCTGGAATGTGAGCATCCCAACTGGCAGCTTAACTGCTGGGTCAAATGCCCAACCCCAGGTGGCAATTTCTAGGCAATGTACCTTTCTGACATGAAAGATGTATCAGTGTACTACTTTTACCTCATGCAGGTAAGTCTCTTTGTGAGACCTGAACCATTTAGAGCTCTCTCAGCACATGATGGGCCACTCACTTTTCAGATGGAGACGGTAGAAGGAACTAACTACCTTCAATCCTAAGCAGGGAATGTCAACACTATTTCTGTGATTCCAAATGGGCCATCTGCCTCCTCCTGCCTCCTTCTCTAGCCTCAGAATACTGAATGCAGACGTGGCAATTGTCCAGCTACTCTGATCCCTGTACGCTCTTTTGAATAATAGCAACCCAAATACACAGGCACTTCAACACTTTGTGGAAAAATAGAATTAAGTGGTGTTTCTTTTGGTGCAAAAAGATTTTGAAGGGAGAGTGCAGTCTCAGGGAAGAGTTGGGGAAAATGGTATAATAAG